CTTGTGATTTTACTTGACGTTCGTAAATATGGTCAAACATTTCTACATCGCCTTTTAAAATGTAAAACGGTCACCTTGTAACAAGTAAAATGAGGCAATAAAATGCAGTAAAAAGTGTGCCGGTGAAGGCTTAACCTAGTCTGCACCATATTCAGTGTGGAATCGCACACTTCCTATTTAATACACACATGCACAGATAACTGACGTAAGGAAGATTTCCAAACCCCTAACATCTCATTTAGCTTTCTGATTTGTTTTGTAGCTATGACTTCATGCAAACAAAAACTACTAATATAGCAGTAAAATGTTTTGGGGAAATGCCTTAGCAAATCACAACGTTTAAGCCTTCAAATGCAAGATTGAACCACTCTTATCGCTCAAGTGCCGTGCGAACCGAAATTGCCAAGTTACCCAAATGCGTTTCGTGAGAGTGTAGTTTGATTATGCTTAAAGTGAGAGCGAATCTCAAAGTTCTTAATTATTAAATAAATAATTTGTTGACAACGATTTCCCCAGTTTTGATGATTAATGATTGCGATGAGGAGAAATTAAGCAAATCAACTAAACAGACACATGAAAGTCCTTAATTGTGCGTGAATTAACCGCAAATTTCAAGTGCATTTGGCCGGGTTGAGTTGGGACTTATAAGTTGGTTTAATTGCAACAATCGGCGAAAAGTTTTTAAAGCCGAACAAAACTCCTGTTCGCTGAGATATGCGCACACACACACACACAGATGTCCATTAACCCATGTTTTGGCGCCAAAAAATTCGTGTGTGGGCCCAGACAACAGGAGAAGCATGATGTTACGCCAGTTCACTCTTCACCTCACACGCGCGCGAGAATTAAGGTCTTTGTGGTTTCCTACCTGCCCTGCCACCCACCGCAGACAAAAGCACACCGTGCGAGTGAGCACATGTTTAAACGTCGTGTGGATACAATTTTTCATCCTTGTTATCCGCACCAACTTACCGACAACCGCCGTGCCTACAGCCTCGCACACGCTTGCACACACTGGGAGGATTTTCATGCTCTAATTGCACGCACTTGCAGGCAGGCGCGATCCGGCTAACCGCAGGCTCCACTTTAGGCGCCAACTTGCGCGCGACTTTTCAGCGACCGCGCCGTTCCAATTGGCGCACTTTTAAACGGAAGGGGGGGGGGGGCAGCGCTGTGTCGAGGGGACATTTGAATCGAGACAGTGGCCAGACCACGGTCCAACAACTGCCGCCATAACTTTTCTTCTCCACTCTCCGTTTTACCGCAAAGCACCGCAGCCTTCTGGCGCCATGGGAGATAGTAGAGAGTCCGGAAGAACATTAACACGACTTGTAGTGGTTGGTCTTCTACTGCAGGCGGCTCAGACTGCGGCCACGGTGGGCAGCAGTGCTTGTGGAATAAACGAAATTTTTGTGAGTAAGAACCACCCACGGTACGTTAGAGCATCAAATATGAAGAAGAGGAGATATTTCGAATCTGGAGTTCCGGATTACCTTTTACAGCTCAGAGAAAGACACAGTAGAGAATGGATGAATTTCGGGCAAACTGATGGTGGACACGGTCCCAGTCTAGGAGTTATTACAACTATACGGCATCACCGAACCATAGGTAAGCAGCTACTACTCTCAAGATGAGGTTATTACAACACCGTGGAAACGCAGATTATCATTATTATTTGATATTTGATCTCCTAAAAATAGGAAGTTTGAAGATCTTATTTATTCTAGACACCAAAAGTGGGAGAATACCAAGAAACCTCAGAGTTTGAATATTTTTGAGTTTCATTTTGGTTTCTGAAACCAATATAGTTAAAAACTGGTAGTCAAAGGAAAAAAGATGCAACGCAATGCACCTTCACCAAGTTTAAAAAGATATTTAACAATATGTCCTCTTCCGCACAATTTGTGCTTGAATTCCACAAATTTCATGAATGAGAAGGAATTTTTAGTGATATGTATAAATACAAGATTTTTAATAAAGCGCCTACGGAATCAGCAAAATTTTGCACTATTGGGAGCAAAGATATATCATGTAATCGACATAAAAGGCGAAGGTAAAAAAGGCCATCGTTATCTAATTCCTTAGAGCGAAGGCATGAAGCCCTTTGATGGCCATAAAAAGTCTTTGAGTGCTTGCTCCTTAGAAGCGTTAAAATATTAATAAATAGTTTAATATATATTCTTTAAATTCCAACATCGTAAATTTGACAGAAAGTCGTTTTTAAGCCTATGAAAATCCAGTTAAATACAACTGTAACTAGATTTTGTTTTGACAGGTTATTAACACATCAAAGTTTCAACACTAAAGTGTAGAAGCCAATTGAGGGTAAAGTAGATAAGGCAAAACATGAAAGGGATTCATTGGGACTTGAGATCTTACGACTTTACCTTTGAAAATGTAAAGCAAGATCAATGTGTCGTGAACCGTAGGCTAGCTACTCCGCCCACACATTTTTCATCTGAACCACCTGAATCGCGGTTCCTCGATTCACCTGACCTACTTGCATATTTGACTAAACACTTTGTACACTAACTTATCTTAGGGAGATTTAGTGTAACTTTCCGAAAAATCCAGATATGTTGGTGCGACAAATGTAAATTTAACTACAGCTACGAATAGCTTGAAAAAATTGGCGGGTTACATGATGAGCGTAATAACCCTAAAATCTGTCCATTCCGGGTTTTTATTCAAATATCAGGTGTGGTAGGTCCAACTTCAACTTTCTATATGTTAGCCATTCACAGCCATTGTGTAACCATTGAGCGCTTGCATAATGAAATACAAACCACTTAGGTTACTCCTGTTTTGTCAAAATCAATATTCCGAAATAAATAAAAAAAACGTTAAACTCCATTATTCTGGTCTGGTTGAAGAAATACGAAGGACAATAACGTCATGCCAACTAAAAATTAGGCGATTTACCCCCCATCTGGTCAGTTGATGAGATTTAAGGCGGAATCGTATAATTCATCGAGAAAGGCTTAAACAAAATGCAATGAATTGATATCTTAGGTTAGAGAACATCATTTAGTAAATCGTAAATGTATTTTTGATAATACGATTAATATTACCCTGATGTTAGGAGCCAATAGCTGCCCCTTTTCGGGAGCAAGTTTTTCTTCAAAATAAAATGATCAATATATGTTAAGAATTAGAGTAAAACAAAACAACTTAATAAGTCCTCCGATTATAATAAAACCAAAGCTGAGATTTGCCTGTACCATTCTCTTATTTAAGCGCCTCGCAATCAGTAAATTTTCCTCAATGACTTGATTTGCTATCTTCTTTCCTTCCATAATTATAATCTAGGTCAGTTGTACTCAATTTCCACCCTTGACATTCCCAACATTGTGTAATTTGAAACCCCCTTTCAGATAAACCAAAGGTTTAACTTCTCTTTTCATAAGGAGGTAACCTTTCGTTAAAAATTAACGACAATTCCATGGTATCCATAAAGGCGACTGGTACAATCCACATGTGAATAATTCAATGGACACAATAAGAAGTGAAGGTTTCATCCAGTGTCCGTAAGTATCCATAAAAGTTACACTGAGCAAACATATTCTACTATATCATTGTCAAGGCACTTGAATAAAGATATAAACGGCACAAGGTTTTACTATAAGTGAATTCAACCGCGTCCACTTTAGTTCAAGCATTCATTCATTTACAGTTAAATGGATGTCATCGGTAACTTCCTGCACTTTAAAAGATGAAAAGTTGAAATCACATAAAAAGGAATCTCCAAAAGCATTGAAAGAGTCATATGGCAATAAATATTCATATTATTTGCTAAAAACAATAAGAGAAACATAAAGTCAAATGTTTTTCTATCTTTCAAAGCATGATGTTTAGGAGGAAGTGGCCTCTTATAAATGCAGAGACTAACGTACTTCAAATAGGAGTGGTATTATCTGAGTCGGGATTGCAGTCGTGCCCTTCTACAATATTTAATCCTAATGATGCAACTTTGAAATCTCTGAGACTAAGCACATACTGTTTGATAAAATGCATGGGTTTGGATAACACTGTTTTTGGGCGAAAATAAATGTTACCTAGTGGTAAAAGTTCTGCAGCTGTTGGGATATCTGGCCAAAATACTATCGACCTCATGTTCACATCCACTGGATGCTGAAATCCCACTCTTTATCATCACAACTGATAACAAGCATTTGATACTCAATAGTTTTATTTTTTGCTTCTAAGAAGGAGCCAATTTAATGAGGTAGTAGTAACAAATCAGGTTATGATACTGAAGACAAAACCATTAACTGTATTCGTTATGCTTTGTTCTGATTGCGACATCCATTCTGAATTGGAATGTACAATGCTAGTGGTGTCACACCGACCTACTATAATATCATAACATTTCATAATCTCAGAATTTTTATGCCAGTGTCTGTACTAATACGATTCGATGTGAACATTAGGCTAGAATAAAGAAATGATCGCGCACGCTGTATGACTTAATTGCATTTATCAATTCTAGGGGCAAACGATAGACAATCACAGTGGCAGAAACATCAGAGCCTCGATTTCCGTCTTGCACGATTTTCAGTCGGTGAGCAGTTGATAGCGTGCAGTTTGCGGCTGCCAATTAGAGATTGCATAAACGCATCCACCCCGGTCTCAGTGAAGGTGATTGGTGCAGGGGAGACCCCAAGGGGCGAGGTCTATGTAGAGGCGGCGGGGACGGCAGGACAGGGACAGAAGGCGTGGCTAAACGTACCACTTCCTCCTGCCTCCCTCTACAATCTCCTAAGACAAAAGCGTCTTCTTCGATTGCGAGTTGACCTAGCTGATGCCAACG